GTGAACACAGAGTTCACTCTCTGTGTTCACTCTCACAGAGTTCCTCTCCTGTAACAAGTGACAAAGTTTCACTAACAAGGACATTCCTATAACATTTTTTTCAAAGGCTCCTAAAGTGTGCTAGTGATTGCCCTGCTGCCCAGACATCTGTGAGCCACAGCGTTGCTCCTATGGAATATTTGCACACCTAGCTGCCTTACAGCTCCAGAAAGTGCCTGGAGATAAGGATGAGAAGTACAGTACAACTGCAGCTCTCCTTGGACATGAGGGAAGGGTTTCCAGTTCCCAGGCTGACAAATGATTCCTATATCATGTACACAGAAGACAAGTCCCCGTTGTCCCACCTAATAACACTAGGCCGAGCAACCCTACGCTGGCCTCTATGGAGAGAGGCACAGAGGGTTTGCTCCTTCCTCATTTCCCCATGCAAAACCATTTCCAAGGTAATATACAGAGCAGCAGCAAGGCAGTAAAGATGCCCAGATGCACAAAAAGTTATAACTGATTTATCCCATTGTTGCTTGATGGTGGTGAAGAGCACAGAAGTTCAGGGAGCTCCCAAAGAACCACACCAAAGTTGTAGCTCAGAAATACGCAACATCAGACATGATCTGAGGCCCAGCGGCCTTCTGCTCTAAGTTAGTTCTTCTATCTCTATCAGTTGGGGATACATAAAGCCAATCTCAGTAACAGATAAACAAGTGAAACATTACTGGGAAAGCAAAAGGGTAGTTGCAATAAGCAGACATGGTTTTTAGGTCTATTTATGCTTAAGGAGCAAGAACAATATACAGGAAAATAAAAGGAAGGAAAAAATTGCACACTTTCAGAAATACGGAAAAAATTGCAAGTAGGATTTGTTTCAAAGCTACTGCAGATCCATTTTCAGTGAAACTAAGTTTCTACAGAAACCTTGCTAAGGATGGATTTCCAGCTGTGTATTTTAAAAATATGTTTTAAAAAATAAGCTGCGTGCAACTTCCTTTTGTGAGATGTACAATAACAATGGCAAAATAACCAAAACAGCTTTGCAGACTGGTTGCTTCTGCTGAATGGAGCATTGACACAGACTGTAAGAGAAGATGGACTATCCCTTTGTGCAAGCGAGGGAAAAGAATGTAAATCTGCTGGAACAGTGTTTGTGGAACATGGTGCTGATTTTAGAGATGGCTTTTTCCATGCACCACGCATGAGATCATGTACAGGGCTGTATTTACATGGTGATGTAATTTTACAGCAGAAGCTGGAAAAACAAGGCCCGTATATCATGTCCAGCATGATTTATGCCAAGCTTTCCACAACTATGCAGCCTCCCTCCTATGTCATACGCATTTTGGCAGGATGAAGGTAGCAAGTGGGACACCCCTGCCCCCAGCTTCTAGACAACCTTACACTTTGGCTGCAGAATCAACTCATAACTCAAAAGCAAGAGCAACCTCCAACAGGCAGGCCGTTTTTCAAGCCGTACAGCATATGTGCTTAATTGAATGCTTACAGATTACCTTTTGTTTTATATAAATGTGCTGCCAGCAAAAGGACGGAGCAGGGATGTCTAATGGGCTTAGCAGGACAGCACTATTTATGTTGTGATCACAGGAGATCGGATACCCAAATGCAATTATTTTCCGAGTAACATTGCACTGTGCTGTGCTATACAAACTGCCTGTTCCACCCACTCATCTTCCGAGGTGGAATCTTACATTTTTTCCCTTAAAAGGAAGGCCATGGCATTGAGATGTAAAGGCTTAGAAAATAACTTCGTTAGCCTCTTTTACATATGGAATGTTCTTAGTCATAAATAAACTTAGAGCAGAGTTAATCACCCAGTATAGTTACATACATGCAGATTGAAAATCTGGTTTAGTCTACAGCCAGTAGCCAGTTTCTAACTAAGAAAGCACAGATTTCTACATGAATAACATTTAACATAATAACTCTTGTGCCAATTCAGCCAAATGCATTTTTGAGCTAATTCTAATAAAACTGGTGCAGATTCCGAACCTCTGTGGCTTTCACCAGAATTGATAGAAGACAAGAAGCTGAGTGAGCCCCTAACTGTAAGTAACAGCAAGTCTAACTATAAATCATGTGGTTTATATTTGTGGAATAAGTATATTGACAAATAAAACAGATTTCTGAAAGTTTGTTCCATGACAGTAAACTTAGATGCCATTTATAATTAAGGTAGTGGCTAAACATCCATTAAAAGGGATAATGTACAACTACCACCCTTAGAAGTGAATTTCAGATGCTTTTTTTCCCTTCTTTTCCATGCATCTCAAAGTACATGAACTTTCTTGCTGATTTGTATCACAGATTGGTCATTAAATGATGTGTCATTTTCCTTTCCTGGAAAACAGCCTTGGTCTCAAATAAGCCAGAAGCTGAATTTGGAGGAGCTAGTCTTACATTCATACCAAGGCAACCAAGAAGCAGTAAAGCAAAACAGTATGCACATGAAAGACAAGATATCTCATCTGATTTTTAGCAATTTTAGTCTTTTTAAGATGTTCAAATTGAAGTAGCACTTGCTGGAATACTTTTTTTAAGCCTGTCATACACTGGGACTGGCTCTAGGATCAACTACATCTCTCCCTGCTCCATGTTTTTTCTTCGGAACCCTTGACTAATGTAACAAACATATTGATAAGCTCTAGACTTGGTGAATCACTGAGGAAAGTGCTTCATGCGGCGGCTAGTAAGTTTATCTAACTGGATGATTGTACTACACCACTCCTTTTCTTCAGCCTCGATTCTGTTCTAGAATGAGTGTTTATTCACCCCAGGGTATTCTCAACATAAACATGATACATGCAGCCTTGATTCTGTTCTAGAATGAGTAAGTGTTTATTCGCCCCAGGTATTCTCAACATAAACATGATACATGGGAGAAGATTATCTATAAAGGCTTTTTCTTATAGCCCTTCTTCATTCCCATGTACCACTCATAACACCTCTTATAACAATAACATCACCTGAGTATCCTTCTAGCATCAGAGCACTTCATCTTCCAGCACATCGGAGGCAATCCTCCAGACAACCTCTTTACCTGGCAGCAGCCCTCGGGAGCACCAAAACAGGCATTAGGATGACAGGACTGTAGTTTCAGGTGATGATGGGTTGTTTGGAACACAGCACTGATCTATCTGAAAGGTAAATGCTGGTGCAGTGAAGGGCACTATTTGGTTCGTGAGCTGAGCAGATCCTTCCTCATCTCTAGATTTTCCTCAGCAGTGATTAGGAAGAAAGTTCCTGGAAATGCTGAGGCCCAGGAACAGGGAGACGAGCGGTTACAGCAGTTAAAAGGCTCCTGACACAGGCCAACAAATTTCTTTTGCTCATCTTGTTGAAATAAGCACATTTTCCCTGCCCTCCAAGTAGGACTAGGCTGGACCAATGCACAGACCCCGCTGCCCAGCTCTCCGGAATGGAGTGTGCACTGGGGCAGCCGAGCACATCAACAAACAGTGCCACATTTTGCCTGCTGAGACGGAAAAAAGTGACTTTTTGCTCTCCCCAAACTTGAAATATAATCAGCTTCATCAAGAACATTGCCAGCAGTGCCCTAGGCACACTGGGGTACAAATCCACACGACAAGCAACTTGGCTGCACTGTTTCTATAGAAAAGTCTCATGGTCTCTTTAGCTTCAGCTTTCCCAGGTGTGAAGCATTTTGATTTTCTCCTATTGGAATGTTTCCTGTTCCAGTATTTTCACTGCTCCTTTGTCATAAAAAGCAGCATTTCGCAGCACCACTCTGGTTCTGATACAAGATGCCTCCAAGTTATAAAAAGTAAAATAGTTCAGAGTCTACACAAACATACAAGAAACTAAGTGCACTTCGAACAGCTGGTAGTAAATGCATAAACAACAGTTACAACTGATTTTTTTAGAGTAATGCACACAGACCTGTGCTTTTAGGTGTATATATACAACATATAAAATAACTATGGATAAAGCCTTGAAAATACAGAGATTAACAGAAAAAAAAACTAATAGATGTTACTACAGGTGATGTAAGAAAAAGTAAAACATCTTTTGCAATAAAAATATGGTAACTCCCCCTAGGAACAGCTAGCAGAACTATATTCCCAGACATTTTTTCAACATTCTATACATCTACAGTATCACCCCATCTTTTAAACAAAGCTGGAGCTCTTAGCATGCCATACTTTCACTAGCATCTAAAGTACTTTTGTCAGTGCTTTTATGTCAAATATTTGCTTATTCTCTAGTGCATGTTAGCCTGGCTTTTAGCACTCTAAGTAAATACTGCAACATTGTTGATTAGATAAGAGGTGGTTTACATATAAGAATTAAATATAAGAAATCTAAAAATACTGGCCCAGTTCGTAAGCAGAGCTCTTGAGTCTTCACATTATTCCATTGATTCCAGCACTAACCCAAACATATGCAGTCTAGAGGACCCCACTCGCAAAGATTACACTAGTCACAATAGCTTTTTAATCTTTTATATTTTTATCTTTTTTATCTTTGGTTTAGGATAGTCAGAGACATGGAGGAAAAGCCACGTCAGGACATGGAACCACCTTCTGTCAGATGCCATAGATTAGAAGAGTCTTTGGGCACTGACTCATTTCATAGTTCCTTTTGTGCCTCCTGCCACAGCCGAAGTTTTCCCACCTGCTGAGGCAAACGTCACTTGGATCGAATGGTGCCAACACGGAGGCAAACCCCTGCGCTCAGGGGTACCTAGGATTGAGCTGCTGACCACAGAGTCCCACCGACTTCGGATTCTGTCAAAGCCAAGATTTCAGATGAGGATGATGTCAATGACCAGTGAAGAGGATGGGTGATTCAAGCTGCTTCTCTCCAAAATTTTATTTCAATGACCTAGTGGAAACCAAAAGGGGGAAAATATATTTTTCCAAATCAGAAAACCCCACCCACAACAGATGAGTACTTTCCATAGTTCCCAAGCTTTGTGAAATTTTGACTTTTTCCAGTTAACATGGAGCTGACACAGTGGAAGTCTTCTGGATAACTTGTGTAAACAACTTTTCTTTTTATTTGTACTATTTTAAACAGTATAAGGATATTTTTGTCGACAGTCTTTATCAGTCCTTAGTTTCATCTCCAGTCTTCAAGATGGACCGATGCTGTACCATTTAACAACAACTTTTTCAGGGTTCATGACAGTATCTCTCCACTGCTCTACTGCTTCACTGTTGCTGCTATCAGAACTTAACCAGATCTGCAGTAAGAAACAAAAACAGAAATTAAATGGGGTTTACCTGATACACAGGTCACAGAGACCTTTGGAAGTTACAAAAAAAGATCTTGCCAGGGTATAATGAGATAAAACACACAGCCTGAGATCAAAGTATACAAGCAACTCAGCTCTATTAAGACTTAAAAATGTTGGGTTGCAGCTAGGATCAAAAGGAGTCTGTGCATTTAAGTTTTGTCTCTGAGTAAATACGAGCTTAGGGGACTCACTACCCACTGATGTTTCTCCACTAACTAAAGTGGTTGGAATCCAGCATCTCCCACTGCACTCCAAGTCCACGTGTGCTGGGGTCAAGAACTCATGAGGGCAGGGGTGGCTCTAGGGACTGTGCATTCAAACTGCACAGCGGGGTTAGCTCTCCATCACTTAAAAATCACACATTTCAACACACAGGGCCAAACCTGCATTCCCCCCTGGTTATGAACATGCCCATACCACGCACAGTTGCGCAACAAGGGTCCGTTTGTTCCCAGTAATCAATTAACGGATAGTGGACATTAAATGAGGAAATGAGGCACGAGTAGGAAGTTTCTCCCTGAACAGTGTCACCAGGTTTCACTGCCAAAAGAACTTGCTGCTTATGTAAGTAGGTATCATTATTTACAGGGCTTTATTTCCTGCACTCTTCCAAGAATGAATCCTTTTAAGACTTCTCAGAAACTTTCACCATGAAGTACATTTAGCCTATTCTGCTCAGGCAGGGTCCTTGAGAAGTGAGAATAACGTCTTCCAGAGTACCACAGGCAGCTGATGTTTCATCCACAGAGGTTCAATATACATCATGCCCATGATTAAAGACATGCCTATAAAAGCAGCCTAATCTTAAACATTGTTTAGAACAGCATCCAATTAAACATAATTTTCTGAAGAGCAGAGTTAATAGGTCCAGCTATATTCATTTTTTTCCAGCTGCCCAGCCAATTGCTCAAAGTACATTTTTCCCTGAGCCATGTTTTATATCTTCATATGTTATGTGGCAGTGTCTGCCTGTTGAGCTGAAACAACCTTTTCCACAGAACCTCAGAAGAGCAGAAGTAGCTCATTTCCTCCCCCTGAAAATAAGATCCATGATTAAATAAAACTTTTTAGATTGAGATCGCTTCACATACTGCTCCTACAAAATCACACCCAGTTATTTCTGCCCCTAGGTAACAGAACTAGAACGAACAAATATTTTTTCTTTTCCTACTCTAAGTCCAATTCCACCAACAGGAGTCATGGCAAAATCCCTTATGTGTGACATGAGACTCTGTGGGAGATGGAGGACGCTCACGAACAGCTGCCCTTGCTGGCACGCTGTTTCTACAGCACTCAGGCTTCCCAACAAGTTCATCTGTTCACTAAGCTTAAGGCACATCCCCAGAATGGGAAGCCACCATTTCAGTGCCTCAGGATAGTACAGCCCTTCACTTGACAAGGAACATCCTAATTTGGGTCTCCAATGTATTCAAATTATAGTAATAAATGAAGCTGGGTCAGGGAAAGCACTGAGCATTAAAATCTGGTATCACCCACTATATCACGAAAAGGAAAGAAAGGAGGGATTGGAGGATGGTTAACTGGAGCAAGCAGGAAAGGGAACAGGGAGGAAAAGGGAGTCGAAGCTACCAAATTCACAATAGGTAAGTAAGTATGAGCACACAAATACTTTTACAAAGATTCTATAGAAGTTGTCAGCTGTAAAAAGGAGAAAAAAGAACACAACAAAAACATTTTGTGTTTGCTCACATATATTATCACTAGATCATACTTATTTAGAACATTGTGACATTTTCAGTATTGTTTTATAGAGAATGACAGTCAGATACTGTAGCTGGTATTTATTTTTACACACTTGCAGTGTTTTAAGCCAATACACCCTCTTTCTAAAGAGGACATCAGAGGTTACAGAGCTCCAGTAAATACTATGTTTGTTTTCTTTAGAAAGTCTAGAGTCAAGGAAGAAATTCTGCATCTGTCCATAGGAAGCCATCTTTCACATAACAGCAGTTTACACAAACATGGTTTATGGACTTCTTTTTAAGAAACAATGAAATACCAATTCCCACTCTGACTTCAGTGTGTGCATACTATTCGTATATATTGTATGCATGTATATATTCATGTATGCCCAACAGCATTCCATCTAGAAGAGTTAATCACTACATTGCTACTTTTGCTGCTACTTTGCTATATGCCACCTAATTTAAAGTATTTTAAAACCCATACCATCCAATACATTCCAACAAACTTGTAGAACTGGATTTTAAGGATCTCATGATAGTTATCAATGCTTAGGCAAAACAAAAAACTAACCTGTCCCAGGAAGTGTTTTCTTCTTACTGAGCTTCTGCTGTAGAGTTTGATGTGAAAACTGATTCCTTGTTCAGCTTGGGTCACTGGAAAAATCATTGTTTCCCCCCATTTCACTTGCCCGTTAGTAGACTTCAGAAGGCGAGTTTTCTTCTTATAAATCAGCCCTTCTGTACTATACATTGCAACTTTCACAAAGAAATCTGGCAAAATTACAAGAGAAGAGGGAAAAGGCATAGCATATAAAGGGTTACTTGCAAACACACACATAGAGGAATTGACAAGATCCACATGTACAGTTTAAGTTGCAACAGTTTCCCAAAAGTCTGGCCAAAAGAATTGTACAATAGCTTTCCTGACTAGTCATACAAACAGAATATATTGAATAATATTGAACTGATTAACACAGTATCCAAATAGCAAGTGCAAGTTAATGCTATTGCATATCAGAATTAATATTGGGATAAAAAAATCTTCCAAAATACATAAACACATAGCCTCAAACCAAACAAAATGTAATCAAGTATGACATCTGTGGAAACAAACCTTGGCAATAGAAATCTACTGAACAACATGTTAGTCTGAGGTTTGTAAGGAATGTCATAAATTGCCAATCCACTCAAGCAGCATTTTACCTGTTACAAACACTTTTAGACAGGAGGCATGAGATAGCTGATGTAACTTACTTAAAGACAGTGGCGTAGATGAAATTGGAAGGTTTTGAGCTTCAAGAATCTGTAACTGAATCCTCCTGTTTATTGCTTGAAAACAAGTTCCTATTTGGAGATCTGCGTGGCACACCTAGAAGCAGAAGAATGTTGCCATAACATCTGGATTAAGCTGCATATAAACTCAGGAAACACAGGAATTCTGTTATATGTAGGGCTCCCACATTTCTATCTGGGATTTCCTGGACAGAAATATTAGCATGTGTTTATACACAACCTGCAGATGCACAGAAAGCAAATCCATCTTGCATTTGCCATAGCTGCAGTACAAATGCTCAACTGATGGACTGCTTTTGTGCAGCACATTTACGGCCCTCGTGGGCTGAAGGATGGCCAGAGACAATGGACAAATACCAGAGACCTCAAACTTCATCTGGGAAACATTCCTCAACATTAACAGCGGACACATATAGGGTAACCAACAAACAGAAGCTGTGCTAAGCCTTGGTACTAGAGTGAGAGAACCAGTGTACTTTCTGACACATAGGCACTGAAATTCTCCTCCTTCACTTGGATTTTGAAGTAAGGAGAAATAACTACAACTTTACTGAGATAGAAGGCCCTGTCACTTATCATGACGACTATTTAGCGTGAGTGTATCCTGAGGAATGTTCTGTGTTGGAAGTACTTTCACAGGTCTCCATACACCATATATGAGTATACTGAAGTCTCTGGTCTGTGCTTGCAGTAAAGTCTCATGATGAAAGTATTTAGAGTGCTGCTGAAAGATTCTTTTTGAGATTTTTTAGAAGAAAGACAGTATTTCTTTTCTGTTTTCTGACCAGTATATAAAATTGTATGAAAACATGATCCAGCAGCAAACCTCAGAATTTAGACAAATCTCACTTCAATAAAACTTCAGGATTTCACTCCCTATAAGGCTTTCTGGTGCTTTTACATCACAGATACAGAGCCACAACACTTGCCCTTGTTATAGTGGTTTAAAGTGAAGGTTAAAGGGTGGATTAAAGCAGGGCCAGGTGAGCTGTCATGACACATCTACACCACAGAAGGAGCCCTAGCTGGGCCTGGCCTGATGCTGCTCAGGGCAGCATGGCCCGCACCACACGCGCGGCCTGGGCGCCCAGAGTCGGCAAGGCCGCGCTGCGCCTCACAGATCCCCCCACGTCCGCACGGCGCCGCCGTCCTGCACAACGGCCCTTCACAAGCTCCGTCTGCGAGGCCTGTGCACTGCGCGTGCTGGGGCCTGCCAACACGGCACAGCTCTGCAAGGCTCGGGATTATCACACCACAGGCCCTCTACATCTGTTGAGTCTGCCTCCCAGCACAACTAGGGTAGCCTGGAATTTTTGTTAGTGGTGAAAAATCATAATGGGAAAGTCCTCCTTGCTCTCCTCTTGGAGAAGAATGAACTCTGACCAGCGGCGGAACAGCAGGATCAGGCCAGTGGAGACCCAGCTTTCCTGATGGCCTTGCTAGTTGTGGTTCCATTCGAGTTTTAACACATTTCAGTGAAGCAAAATGAGCCAACTAAGAGAGCAATAGGTGAGGTAAAAAGAGGAAGTCAGGTTCCCGCTCACACTCAGTGCGAAATCTGAATTATCTTGGCAGCTCAGCAACAAGGTTTCTGTGTAATGTTGCAAAACATGAAAACCCACAATTTCACAAAGCTCTGGGCTTTGGCTCTCTATTGGCAAATATGAATAATTCTTTGCTACCTCATGGGGTAGGACACTGATGAATTCCAGCAGTGTCTGGAGGGCTCTGAGATATAATGGTGAGGAGAGCCAAAACAGAGAAACAATGAAATGATTTAGGAATTTACATTGGGATGAAGCAGTTTCTAAAGCAGCTTCCTTTTTCACTTAATCTTTAGAAAGTTATTGCTTCTGTACTAGCAGAAGCAATACCATATGTTACTCTTGTTAGAACTAAAACCGTCACATGTAACTTATGTTAGGAATCAAGACGGTCACTCGTATAACACAGACATTCTTAAATAAAATTTGCTTTTGAATAGTTAAATCAAGTTCAATTTGTTGAAAATACGTATGTCTAGACACAATCTGTAAAAGAAACAAATAGAATGTCAGACATTACGATGAGGAAGGCAGAAAAGGACAAATCCCACTGTGAAAATGACACTTGACAACCACCTGCTTTTTATTACTCTAATGGAAGTGAACTGTTTGAATTATTATTGCACAGCATGCAATCTGAACATTCAAAATATATATATATATACACACACACACATATATATGTATACACACACACACATACTTTAAGTCTCAAAATGTTATTGAAGATCTTAGTGATTTTCTTCTATAATGAAATTGGATTCTATTTCCTCTACACTCTTGCTGTGAACCCTAAGGATCTTCTGATGCTTGTTAGGAAAAGGTATTTACCCAGTGCCCTCTCCTGAAAGCTTTCCCAGCATGGACCTTCCTCAAACTGAGAGACATTTTATGGAACAGCTAGTCATGCCACTTATCCATAAACAGCTGCAGTTTATGACCATAACAATTATGTACCTAGTTCAAAAGTCTGCACTTTACCACTGCAAAAGGTCCCTTGCAAAAAAAGCATAAGGAACCTATTTCTTGTTAGCACTGAAGTCTGCTAAATTATCAATAAATCACTTCCCTTTCTGCAACTCCTCCTAGGTGACAGGATAGCACGCTTTTGTTTTTGTGGCGATACGTGTATAGACACTTACTGGTGCTTTGGAAGGAGGGCTTATATCCAGCCAATGACTCAGTTCCTCTGTGCTGAGCTCTCGCAGTGCCAAGGAGCACTCTCCAATCGTTCTCTTCCTGGGAGTCTGTGTCTGGATTTTAAATACCAATCTGACAGCCTGCAAGCTTTGCAGTTTAATGGCAAACACGAATGTTTCCATGAATTCAATGTCCTAGAAATAAAAAGACATTCACTATGATAAAAGTGCTCCTTTGAGCCCCAAATCTAGAAACTAAGGCTCCTCGGGCTCACAGCCCCTGCTCCGAGGGTGCCAGGAGCAGCCTGCTTGCACAGGGCACCCGTCCAGGCGGAGCGCCCATCTCACCACATCTGCGCACCCTTGCAGGGACACATGAGGCTCTGGATTCTTTCTTACTGCCATCAGGAGCTGAAGCCCTCTTTTCTGGAGCTTTACAACATTGTCACAGAAGATTCTCTTGCGGCCTTTTGCTCCCATCCCTTCTGCTTGTTTTATATCCTTTCACCTCAGACTCGCATTATGGGAAGTCTATGCTGCTTTACCTCCTCTCTTTTCCTGTCACCTTCAATACTCTTGTCCCATGCCACCAACCCTTGATGCCTTCTGTAGACAGGAAGTAAGAATTCTCCTTGCCTCCTGCCCTGGCTGGCTAATGTTGGTTGGTTGTACCTTCTCTAGGGTGAAAATTAAGGGAATTCACAGCTACAGCTATGTGCAGTGTCCCTCCAATCACCGCTCATTCAAGCCAAGACCAGCAGTGCATGGGGCAGTCCCCCATGAGCGTGTCCAATACCTATCGCAGAAACTCCAACAAGACGGGAGAAAAGGAAAGCAACAATTTAAGAAGACAGGAGGAGAACCTGGAAGAAGATTCCCCTTTCTTCCTAACTTCTTTAAACCCTGTTAAAACGGTAACCTGAACCAAAGCACTTATCACAACACACATGGCATAGAAGAGTGGACCTCTGGTCCGTTTTTAAAATTCATGTACATTTATTTACATTTCACATTCCTTTTTTCAGGAAAATATTTCATGCTGGTTTTTTCCTGCCTCTACTTACATTACACCCTTCCTTGGCAGAGGATTTGAACTGCACTGGTTTTGGCAGTGTGATAATTCCCTTGACACAAATACGAGGATTTTCCCCACAACTAGAAGGCCAGCTCAGGTCTTTGCACTGCAACAATGAAAACAAACAGTTTAGACAATGCAAGACTCCATCTTTCAGACAGTTTAGGTATTATAAACTGTTCTAGAATTATCCATAATTCCTGTAATATTTAATGTAAGCCAGGGCCAGTGTTATGTCTGCATAACTTCAGGCCATTTAGTAACTCATTTTCATAGCAGAGAGAAAAAAGTTTTTCAGTAGACTTTAATGATTTCACTATATGGCAATTTGACAGCAGATAAATCACGAATTCCCTTAGGTAGTATTTATCACTTTTTACAGTTATGGGGTTTCTGACTACTCAAAGTTCCATTGCCTAAAAGTCATTCACAGTTCCTGGAAGTGTGTAAAACAGCCGGTGTAACAGTATCACATTAGCTAACATAAAAGCCACAAGAAGTTGCACATCTTCAAAAGGCTGTTGTGGTTCTACCCTGAAAGAACTGTAAGATTTAAAGTCAGTTTTGCAGTCTCAAAGTTTCCATATGAGGCCAGCCTACAACCTATTCAGCTCTCTTATCCATGACAAATGGTATCTCATTCTACAATCGGAACATTTCGTGTAGAGTAACATGAAGAGTTCTATACGCCTTGTTACTATTAACTGAGGCAGAACAAAGATTGCAACTTAATCCAACAGAAGAAAAAAAAAAGGCATTATGTTTTCTATTAATAGTAGAAGTAATTTTCTTCTCCTGAAAGCATTCCTTAATTCTCACCAAGTCTCTTTGCTAAATCTGGCTGCCACTTTAACACTAAGTATACTAAATTAGCCATCTGAGGAAACAATAATTAGGTTATTTATATTTGCTTACATGTAAAACTGTGATCCAGATCTGTTCGACAGAAGGAACATAGCACAACTTCACATTCAGTCTTCCAAAGTCTCGTTCGTCACCAGATAATGTAATAGTATCTGTGGAGGGAAGCCAAATAGTCTTTTTTAGAAGTAATGCAGCATCTCAAAAATTCATTCAAATAAGATATCTGATTAGTATGTGCCTATTTTGGAAAACTTCTCTCAAAGCAAGTTTGGAATAACTTAACACACAGATTTTAAGGAAAAGATATCCATGAAGACCTGTGGCCTGATCTTCTATACACCTATACATCGAAGGCCTTCAACTCTATCCCACTTAGGTCTGTTGAGGTGCACTCAAAAAAGAAAAAGCGTGTGTCTGAGACATTCAAGACTCACTGAGAATCCACCCCTTCCTTAGATTTAAATGCTTCTGCTTTTCTAAAGCAGGCAATTTATAAACTTATTTTTCTCAGATTTCAAATCCCAGTTCAAAAACATTTCATTATTATGCTTTTACCTACTAATTTAGAGAGACTTTTAAAATCTCCTGTTTCTTTGCCATGATTGAAAATGGGTCACATCTCAGACTTGTTTTTGAGGAGACTGCAAGAAATTCTGGCTTTCACTATGGACACATTTGTGGAGGGTTGAATCATTTTTGAAAGTTTATTTCGCATCACCTCCACTTCTTCAGCATTCTTTCAAAACTAAGGATATTGGGTTTGAATGCAATACTCTTGCATAATTTTCAGCGTAACGTGGGTATTGGATTCCAGACACTTTCCATATGAAAAAGGACTAGAGCTATGAGCAAGTGGTCACCTTCCATCCTAGCAAAAAATCTCTAATTTCTTAGTTCACTAGGGTAGTAAAACCATGATTGATTTTTTCAAAAGCATTAGATCTTGTGCTCCTTGAAGTCCCACTTGGGTGCATCTCAATGAAATGAAGACCTTTCTTTTCAAATTGCAAAGTAATCTCCAAAATGACTCGCTAATAGGATCCTTTTCCACAGAAGTTGTCAATAGTGGTGGCAGTTTAATGTTTCAAGTTTCATGTGCAAAGAGAAGTATTTTGCTACAAGACAAGCAATAAAACATTACCCAGACTCCTGTTACTGCCTTGTGAATCCTTTCTGGAAGAGGTGCTGCTAGGTACACTAGAGAGTGAATCATACCTCTGGAGAAAAGAAAATAAATAAGCACACAAATAAAACACTAAGTAGTAGGGGCAGAAAGTCATAGAGATTCTATCATTCAGCAAAACATGATGAAAACCAAGCAATATGCAATTTCAAATTTTTGTTTCATTCCATAGTAACCCCTGGACACAGCAGCATGGAATTAGCTCCTTGATGCAAAAAGTAAACACAGGACAAGAGTTCAGGACAGATCTTTCGGCTCAGTGATGCATATGCAACTTCATCTCATGTAAAAGATGATTATTTGAAAGAACTCCATTGTTTATTGTATAAATGGAAAATAGATCGCTTGTGTCTTCCTACACTGTGTGTCTTCCATTTTTCAACTGATCAGAAAAATCACAAAATAGGGAATCACTGTCACTTGTCCTGCCCTATGGGATGCTCAGGTTTCTCAACTGATGTTTAGGGTCAGAACAGTTGTGGGCAGGGGAGACACTAAGAAAGAACCTCCTGAAGTCAGTCAGGACATTGAACTTCAGTACAGTGCCCTTCAGTGTTTACTTTGAAAACAGACTGTAACAGAAACAGATATACCAAATAGTCTGAATTTTGGGGATAACCTCAATTACAAGGAAAACATACCTTCATGAACTTGTGAGGTGGGCTTCTGAGATCAAACATTGAACGACTTACATCACGTGATCCAGGTAGAGTGGCAGTTCTTAAATCACTAGCTAAAGTGAGAAAATGAACAGTACAAATAACATATATGTCATTGACAGAAGAAAGCAAAAAGCAAGAAGCATTTTTAAATATAACTACTGGTAGAGTTGAAACCTAACTGAAGTAACATCTAAGGAAGGACATGTTCACCCTTCTCTGTTTCCCACCCCCAAAACAGCCTCCTGAAATAACACAATGGAAAGAACAAGACATTAAAACAACTTGTTAAATTCAGTCTTTGAAATACTCCAAATCTACTAGGTCACACTGGTAGCACTGGTAGAACAAGGAGCCTAACGGAAAGCCCCAGCATGATTTCTATTTTGCAGACAGTTAGGTTAGAAAAACTTCTTTTCCATTTGCATCTTTAAAACATAATTAAATTACTGAATATGGCATTTGCTTGGGCTCTTTTTTTTAAAGAAAGAAAAGGAAAAAAAATCATTTGAAAAGTCTATCAAAAAACAAAAAGAGAATAGATTTTACTTAAAAGAAAGAATATGCAAACAAACAAAAACACATAACTTCTGAACAAAAAGATGAGAAGCCACTGGATACTCCAGAAATCTAGGCCACCCCAAAGAAAACAAACAAATGCAAAACCTGCAGATTCCTGAAATTTTAATTCTTGCAATTCACTTCTTCCTCCTATGTTAAGACATAATTCCTCATAAGTTAATACATAATCTGATCGGAACCACCTTGTCAGCAAACGGAAGATAGATTTTTTCCTCCATTTTACTTGCTACCTTTCCTTTCTGTCTCTTAAGTGTCTTTAAGTGCTTCTGCCTCCTGACAAAAGGAATGGTGTTTCCCAGCAGATGCCTTTTTTTTTTTTTTTCACACCAGGTCTTGGATAACAGCAAGTCTAAAAAGGCAACTGCATGCTATACACCAAAGCAAGATCTTTGTTTTATAGCAGAGGTAGCTACCTCAGCAGCTGCGGTTGGCTAAGCAGATCACATCACTCTTCTTTTGGCCTTGAAGCACTCGGCCTCATGCAGCAATGGCAGAAAATGAAAGCTGAACTAACAGCTCTGTTTCAAGAGCCTTTGCTGACTCCACTGATGTTAAAGAAGTTTTTAAAGCTGCACAACTTCAAAACTGACTCACGCTAAAATGGGTCAAAGCAGAATGGTTTAACTGGCAGAACTACCTGATGAAATGCTTTGCTTTTTGGATGCATTGCTGTATTCTGTACATTTCAAAAGATTTCCATTACAATGAGTAGTTCATAGTCTAACGGGAGAGCAACACAGCACTTGCCACTAAATATTTATTTCCCTTATTTTCAGTTATTATCCTACTGAAGGGTAGATACTCAAGACAATATTAAAAAACCAACCTGGCTCCCACCACAGGCACCTGTAAAGCCAAGTGAAAGCATCTAATGTGTGAACAGCTGATAAAATTAGGCAGGTGTTTTATCCATGTAAAAAACAAGCAAACAAACAAAAACACACACACAGAAACCCCATCTTCTCCACATATTTTTCATTTCATTTTATCCATATAGTAATTCAGAAACACTTGTAAAGCAGGACACTAATGGAGAGATTTTTCCAGATTTGAAATAAGCATGGTGTATCTTTCTAAAAAAGACTCCTTTAAAATGCATGCCCTATGACAGCTTCTGATTCAATAGAGAGGTCTGTATGTTTTTCTGAGATCATGACATTTTTGAATATATTTGTCTTAATAATCACTTACAGCAAGCAATACTTATTTATTTTACTCTAAATAGCATTCATATATATATATGCACCAATGAAAAGCATAGAACAAAGTTTTTACCTAAGTAGCGAAACACTTCCCAGCCTTTTGCTGTTCTAATTCTACAGTCCTTCTCTGGTTTTATACATATGTAAACAGTAAAAAGTGGGGCACTTCTGCACCTTCAAAAGCAGACTATATAAAAGCTGCCATGTAACACAACTTCCCATTTACACCTGTTCTTAAGTTCTGTCCCTGGATGCTTTTGGTATTTGTTCTTCCCTTTGCACACACACTCCTCAGCCATTCCTCCATTGAACATATCAGCCCACTTGTACATGCACCCTCAAATACTCCTACTGGTAGCTGTGATCTCCAGCACAACAGATGGCATCTGGTTCCAGAGAGAATTCCTGGTTTGCTGATGGGGGGCAGCTGCACCAGCTTGCTTTGCCCATTTGTCCATCCTGCTGTGACCCATGTAAAACTTTTTTGGCCCCCAAAGATGGAAAGCAACAGCACTGCTGGAGCCAGCTCTGCAGATCATTTCAGCAACCCCCACAAAATCAGAAAGCATCTGTAGTCTGCAGACCAGTTTGAGATTCAATGATATCTTCCATATTCTAATGACCTTTCTCTCTTACCTATAAATCTTGGGAAAGGGAGGAGGACAAAAGAGGAAGGGTTCTCACCTGATCCATATAATTTCCTATTATCTGCTTTATCCTGGAAGCGCCTAACAAGATCTGGTGAAACGTGGCGCTCCAGAAAGAAGGGGTTGTACACATCATATTGGGGCCACTGGTACATGCTGTAAAGTTCTGCTTTCCGGTCACCAAATGAAGCTCTGGCAGATTCTGTGAAGCACAAGTAAACATCAAGCGCATGAGTTCAAGATATAAAGAATCCTGCCTGGCTTCATAATGCAGGCAGTGCTTTAACTGCAAAGAACAAGGCATTTCATTATCATCTGCTTCAAGAAAAGGCACCCCAACCCTAAACACTTCTCTGCAAAACCCGTACGCACACACACAGAGCCAGACTTCAACAGTGTGCTAGTAAAGACTGGAATGAAATTGGCCATAAAAAGCCATGCACAGCCTCTCCCTTGGAGTTCCACAATAAATGCTCAATCAGTTAAAATATACAGAAGGCTCCAAAGACAACAAGCAAGATAGGTATTCACTGGAAAAGGGGGGCCATGTGTATAGATAGCTTCTGACTTCATCTGGCTTCATACCACTGGGCATCCCCACTTGGCTAATGGACTCCCCAAACTTCAGGGAATTCTTACATAGAAAGATACTGAAATTTGTGACTACAGCCCCCCTGCCATCCAGTTTCCACAGGAAGTCTGTCAGGGGTAAAGTAACAGGTCCAAGAGTACTTGAATTGTTGGCCAAGGAATGACTAGACAGACTTGAGAATACTTGAATCCCAGCTGTGTATTCAGTCCATTACAACACAGCTGTCCTACTTTATTTTTAATGATTTCAGACAAAATATGAGTGACCAGCAGAACAGTAAAGCACACTGCTGCAGTGCTTCATTTTGTCTGTCTGGAACAAAAATAAGCCATGTATGAAAGTAAAATAGAGCCTGCAGATGTGGTGATATGGACTCTTTTCCAAGGTCTAACATCCGCTTCCTGGTCAGAGCCACTTCACCTCCCTGGACTTCAGTCTATTTGGGAAACAGTTCTTTAATCCGTTTTAAAGGGCCTTCAGATCTGCAAGTGTGCAACTGTACTATTATAACATCCTTTCCTCCAGAAGATAGTAAATTAAGAAAAACAAAAACAAAACAACAACAACAGCAGAGATGTAACATAAGAGATGACAAAGTATGCACTGAAGTGGGATATGCAGGAGCAGAACTGGAGTTTGGATGGGTGCCAGAAGCGAGCACTTGAAGGACTGCGGCACCACCGGCCACAGAGGCTCACAGGCTGCCTCCAGAGCAGGAGGGCGCTTCTCCCTGCGCGCCCGCTTCTGCGAGACCCGGGGACACTGCCCCGAGGCTTGAAGAGCGAGGCTGCCACAGCTTCATCACTTTCAGCAGGGATGCCAAGAGCTAACAAGTGAGCAGGTCCTGTTTCAAGAGAGGAAAACAGACAGACACCACAGAAAACGGAGTGGAACTAAGAGCTGAACTTCAGCTTCTACAGATATTTACCAATGCCCCAAGCAGCAAATAATCCAAATAGGTTTCTTGAATGCGCTAGTGCCTTGGCAAATATCACAGTATGGTGAAGAAGGAATGACAGAATACACAAAAATGACATTTTTGTGTATTTAGTAAATCTCCCTAAAAAGTAAACTTTGCATTTAAACACATGTGAGGCATGTGCATTTAGTGAGGCTTAAGAATTTGGACTTGCCAATATAAACACATATTCTAAAAGAAGAAATGAAAGCTGCTTAAGGGCAACACTGAATATGCTCATTTAAGAGAGACAATTATGAACAGCAAGTTCATCTGGCCAGAAGACCTACCAGCATCGTACAGCCTATATAGCTTAACAGTGTTCACTGCATCCTCCAGAAATGATAATGAAGCAGCATTCCCAAGGAAGAAAATCACTGCTTTAGAGTGGCAGGAATAAAGCAAACACGCATCTCAAAGTTATGCAGATGTTTCCTCACCCTTCCTCCTGAAGGACCCAGGTTCCTTGGAGTCCATGATGGAAATATCTATATCTGCATATCTTAAGGATGAGATACGATGAAGCAAGACCAGAGCCTCCTGCAATGGCAGGAGGGGAGTGGGAGGAAGGAAGCAACAGTGGAGATCTGGGGCAGGGGGGAAAGAAGGGTGGGAATAAAACCACCCGCACACAAGGCTTGGTAGCACTGAGTTAGTTATTATGCAGCCCGTGTCTGACTTTCTTCAATTGTTAACGTTTCCATCCTCAAAAAAGAGATCTAGTCACGTGGGACTAAAAGCCTGTTATCAGCCTATCACGTCCTTGAGGCAGCTCCAGAGAAACCAACAGTTTCACATACACTTGGGCCCAATTTTCAGTTAGGTAACTGCAGGCATCTCCTGACTGGACTAAGAGCCTAGCAGTAGTCTAGCCCCTGAGAAACTCATGCTGCTGGGTCACACTTCTACTCTTTCTTAAAACATTAGTGTGCCCAAACTGGATGTATGTTATTTGGGCAGTCTGTGCATGAGACTAGCTGATATAGTATGAAGCACAAACAAGGATACTGTGAAGCAAAGTACCATAGTGCCATATGCCACTCTTACTCCTCAAGCATAGCAAGAAGAGCAGGAAATAGCAGAAAAAAAAAATGTCTTCTGAATACTAGCACATGCTGCCTATTGTCTGGAAAGAGAAAAAGGAAGACGTGTTAGTATGTTAAAATGTTCACTAAACATGGAAGCCAGACTACGCTCTTTCTTTACTTCTGAGTGGTCTGGACATTGAGAATGTGTTAGGTCTTTCCTTGCCTCCAATAAATTCTCTTTACTAGAAGTCTGGATTGCTTCAAGTGCCATTACTTTGAGTACAAGCACTAGTGTGCAACCTTGCCATCAGTTTTATTCATGCAAGATCAGAGAGATACATAACGGGATGGAATCTTTCCCAAAGGCGCTTTGGATGTCCAGAGAGCAAAGCTGCAATGCCAGTTCCAGCAAGTTCTCCAAAGATATGTTTGTAGGAGGAACACTGGTTAACTCTTGACACTTCAAGGAATAGCAGAAGATAAAGAACTATTTCTGAGACCTACGACGGACTGAAAAAACAAATCTCCTTCAGCTTCTGGAAGCTGAGTAGTAATGTACTAAATATAAAAAATAGGGGAAGACATCATTGTGCTATAATGGACAAAACAAGATTTTTTTCCAAGAAGACAAAGCCTTCTCACGGACTTTCATTAGATGGTGACACTGGTTAATCTGCCCAATGAGATACCAGCATTTTTAGTCGGTTTTTGCCCAACAACCTACACACCATTTTAGCAATACTGTTTATATCTCACCTTGAATTCCCCCAGCATGCAAGACACTAGCTAGGCTTTTCGGCTGCACATAAGCTAGTTTGAACGGAGGGACCACAAACGGTACCTCCTGACCATCCTGAGGCAGTTTAGAAAGCAGATAATCCTCTGAACAGCCAACTTGGCGCTTCACGGGCACAGAAGACAACGGAGGTTTCTCCACAATAGCCGGCCTCTTTGCGGCTGCCGCTTCAGATTCCTGCGCCATGGAAACTGCTAAAAATAAAGAGCAAGAAAAACATAGAGCTCACATGTGCATTAACTTTTGAACAATACTGTGAATAGATCTCTATTGTTGAATAGGATCTGTGTTTGACACATTACTTTCTGCTGCTAGTGTTCATTTTTACTAGCAGTCACAACAAATACTGACTGCTGTATGGAAAAGATATTCATCCTCATGACACCTGTACTGATCCAAGCTCTTTGCTGCCCAAGGTAGTATTTATAGCTACCTTGCTCTTAAATCATTTTTTATAAGAGGTACACTGTACATTTGTATCACGGAGCAGTTGTGCAGACAACTAACATACCAAAAGAAAACCCTGACAGCAAATCCACAGAGTGGGGGGAATATTCACTTTTAGAGCATTTGAAAAATATAAGACCTTTGCATGACCTTGGGTAAAAAAAAAGCTGGCTTTTTTTTTTTGGACAGCATTCGAGGCTGCAAGGAGCAGACTTCAGACAAGTTTTACTTTCCAGTTCCAATTCCTAACACTAACAAGCATGTGTTCAATCTCCAAGTGGAGGCACAGAAAGAATTTTGGATGCTGTAAAACAATGTGGGTTTATCGGGGATGACATTGCAATTTTATTAATGGGAACCTCATCGTTAATGAATGTGGAATAGCAGAACTCTTAGTCAACATGATTACTGTGTTGGAACTCACAATCACTTTTTTCCTTTTCCACGTAGAAGCACCATTTGCAGCAGTTCTTTAGATATTCTTTTGCCATTGTTTCTGTGTTGCAGTTCAGAAGAAACCATAAAGATCCAGCGCTGCTGTCAACTCTGCAAAGCACAGTCAAACAAACTGTATGAGATGGAAGCAACTGAAATTAAAATGCAAAATTATGTTAGGCATTTAACTGTGCAACTGTTCCTTGGACTCAGTTCCTGGGTCAATGACAGAGCCACCATTCACTTCAGCCACAGAAAGACTAAACTCAACAGATTTCTCCTTTTGAGATAAACTATTTTTTATACAAAACGCTTTTCTCCTTTCCTGCATTTTTGTAACACATGACACACCAATACTTTCAGTGACCAACTCAAACAGATCAACCCCTTCCTTCTAAGGGCACCAAAACTCATCTCTTATTTCTGTGTGCAACTGGGCCTTGCAGTTTACTCAGCTTTAGATTTGTTTTGATCTGGTCTTTCCAAGTTATTTGCAAAGTATATTTTTTATTCCATTTCCCTGACTCATGTTTTCCCTATTCTATTTTATTCATATACCTACATGTATATTATGTAATATTTCCACATATATAGGCCCTTATATTTTTAACTCAGTATACACTGTATTTCACATGTGAAAACACTCTTTATGAAGAATGCCAGCATCACTTTCTTTGAGAAACTACTGCTGTCTCTTCACTGTATACACATGAAATTGAGAACATGCTTTATTATATAATTACCACCTCTGCATCTAGAGAGAGCACCGACTTCCAGCAAAATGAGAGGCATGCAACCTCTTAAAGAATGAGAACAAGTCTGTAACAGCTGGTTAACATTAAAAGGACTTTATGAAAATACTAACTGGCCTGATTTAAATGTCTTTATTCATGTGCTTATGTTCTCTTTTCCGAGGGACACACACAGCTGTGTTGCCTCCTGTCCAACATTTCGGCTAAGACCAGTCCTTTCGCATGTACCTAAAGTACACGAGGTTCCTTAGGGAACATACCTAAGATATGACTCCAGCTCCACAGAGGGCACAAGAAGACACCAAACAGAACATGAAAACAAGCTGAAGGGATGGGAGAGACAACGAGTGGGAGAAACAGGGATAATGCCTGGAGAAGATGACAGTTACGCAAACCCAGACTTCTGCTCAATTGTCTTAATCACAGGAAACCGCCAAATGTCCTCGTGCTCCAGCACAGCAGCTCTTGGCCTCCACGCTGCGGCGAGACAGGCGTTTTGTTTGTCCAGGTACTCCTGGAGAGCGAGGGGACCGCACGAAGACCGTTAACAGAAACAACAGTAATTGCCGGAACACAAACCAAAAACTCGTCCTTCATTACACCGCAAAAGCAAAAATTTGGTGGATGCCAAATGAAGACATTAATTTCTGAATGCTTTTACCTAAATGTGGAAAAACTTTATTTCCTTAACATTCCTTGCTGCCATGGGGAGGGTGCTCCTGAAAGTCCGGTAACATCAGCAGACGTGGCGATCTGCAAGTAAGGACCGGGCACAGCACACAGTTCCCGACCCGATCTGCAAGTAAGGACCGGGCACAGCACAGTCCCCGACCCCTTTCGCACACTACAGTGCTCCACATTGCTATGTATGTGCCAAGTTAGGGGGTTACGGGGTCACCGAAAGCACCAGGCTTCATTTAGAAGGCTCTGAATTAACTTGTCAACTTTAAAATGCAAAGTTGAGATGTAATGAAGTGAGATGTAATGAAGACCTACTACTACAAGTACATAACTGTCCCAGAATTATTCTTAGTTACAAGCTACTGCAGAGTACTGATCAGAAGGAAATTCTTAAAATATGTTCCCATTAGACCTAAACCGATCACACAGCTGAAGCGAATCATTATCCTCCTGCCAGAAGGCCTCAAGGAATTCTTTTTTTCCTCTCTTAATGCAACATCCTATAAAGAACTTTTGCTATTTCTACCATTAAGTGAAATTAATCACTTCCTCTGATTTTATACTGCTCTTTGTGTCCAGCAGACCAAAATGCACAAATTGCAGTGACCTGAATGTGCAAAAAATTCATAAGAAGCCTGAACACTGGTAAATGTTAATCTGAAATAGCAGAACAGGTGCTCTATGTCCCACTTGCAAAGGGACACCACTGCTCTGCGCGCACTAGTCTCGCTGATCTCTAAATTGCCACACAAGTTAAGTCTGATGTGAGATTTGCACTGAAACACAACAGAGGTGACACCCCCGCACCAGAGCCTCTTTACAGAAGCACACAGAGGTGCCCAGGGCCTTCCCGGGGGATCTTCCACGTCTCTCTGAATCAAGCGTTCCTCTCCTCCTCCCTCCGGGACTCTCACCTTAGTGAACCAAGTGGGAACTCAGAGTTTACTTGAAGGCTCCCGTGTGGTGATTCTCCTTCCCAGCTGGAGTTAATATGCTTTACTCCTGTTCATCATGTTTAAACTGGGCTGCAACAGCTGTTTCATTTGCTCTAAGCTCTGCAACCAAGATATTGAAGGCTCGGTGGCAGTTTGTTCCGGCAAAACAGTATTTTACCTAAAAATATCCAAGCTGAATTTACTCACTCTGGTAGTGAGGAAACAAAAACTTGTCACTTGACCACCCAACTTTCCAGTTACATAAATTGGTGGTAGGCGGAAATTCAGTTTTTCCGCATCAGAGGAAATTTAGTTCATGGAAATAATTTCTTTCCCCAGAATTGTTTAGCTGGAACCAGCCATGTAAGTGAGTAAACAAATGTAAATCATCTGTCACAAGCAGTAGCCTTCCCATCACTGCGTTGAGTGCCTTGCTTTGAAAGATGGGCAACATACCTGATATTGGTGTAGCAGTAAGAATAGCATTCTACATCCTTTATCCTTCTGTAATTAAGAAAAAGAAAAAAAAAAAGAAAATAAAGAAAATAGACCAGGTTCTTTACAATAAAACCAAGCATTCTGTGACACTTTGACCATTCGCTTCTGTTTTCATTTAACAATGTGGAAACATCCACACATTTCTTTCTACCCACATGCAAATATAAAAGCAATCCATCACTGCCTATTGTGCTGAGGAGTACGGTATGATATTGCTATTTACACATTCCCTTTTTACAGGCCTGGTAATATCAGTAGCAAGGTAGTATCAGTAGCAAATGGCAAAGTATATAGACACATACTTTAGAGTTTCCAGTTCACTCTAGGCCTCAATTAGATATTTTTAAAAATAAAAATTCCAGGCGTGATGTTTACACTTGATTTTGTGCTTAAGAGCATAACAGCGTCAAAGCTGGTGGCAAAATTTGCACTTTTGTTCGTAAACACTTTTTTAAAAAGACAGTATTTGCTAAGGGACAGATCACCTAAACTCAGTCCTCCCTCATGCTGCCTACAGCACCCTGCTTGTTCCATGAATTCACAACATGGATGCTCTAAGACACATATTAACATTCTGTTTACTTAAGATATATTTATGTATGAATATATATATGTGTGTGTGTGTGTATACGCACATATATATAAATATATATATATATATATTTGGGTTTTATTTCAGAATAGCAATCTCGTAAGTAAATAGCGAAGAGCAAGCAAGTGCTGCATGATCTTGACAAAAGTTGACACTTGTTAAATAGTCACACTTGCCTGGGGATAAATTTACTGAATATACCTGAACCGATACGGACATTTCTCGGGCCCACTGCTGAGTTTCAAAGGGGTACTGAGCTCCTGGCAACGCGACCCATGTTAACGAGTTTGGACTCCTAGATGCCACCTCCAAGTTTTGGGCTAAGTTTTCCCTAGGCCATACACACAGACACAATCAAAAACATAGTCCATTTTGGAGAGATGAGCCTGGGAAAAGGAGTTAACCTCTCCCCAAGGGGTGAATTCTTCCCAATTTTCAGACAAAAGACTGAGCCAGAGAAATGCAATCGCTTGTATGGAGGACCTGCAGCAGGAGAGGGCACTGAGCCCAGATCCGAACACTCCCTCCATCAAATTCTCTCTTTCTTGGTGTTCATCACTGGTTTCAGCAATTGCACTGCCTTCCTCTTCCCCACGGTCAACCCACGCTCAGATCACCAAAAGCAAGTCAGCTATCGTTCTTCAACACTAATGCAGAAGGAAAGCCAAGGTTATTAGAACATCACGGAAACTACATCAAAGAAGAAAGATTTAAAAGCAACCATGCATAGAGTCCAGGGAATTAGTCTCACTACTATTTTAATGTATTTAGATGGAGAACATAATTAGCTTAATGATTTCCAGATTTCTCTGATAGACCTCTTGAAAGTACAAAAGTCAGACAAACACATTATTGAAGACTTTAGTTCCAGATGCTTCCAGAATTATTACAAGACTGAGATGTTTGAAGAAGAAAGCAAATATTTTCAGCAACTCATTAAATAATAAAAAAACATGATAGAAAATGAATGAGGGTAATACTAAATATTAAAAGCTGCACACGGTCTCAATAGAAATGTCATCCCATGATGAAAGGATGTGTTTTGCAGCAAATTGGTAGACTGCTGATGAATTCTAGCACATTTAGCCATAGCACTGCTCTGTAAGAGATGATCGAGTAACACATTTAAAGCTACATGATAGAAACAAAGGCAAACATCTGATCTCAAACCGGGAAAACTGGCTAAGCCAGATGTTTCAAAAAGCCACCAAAAACCATTAAAAGATTTATTTCCAGCCATAAATACATAAAACACATTCTCAGATTTGTGTTCCAGAAACACCATAGCAAAGTTTCTAGTTGCCCCAGTACTCACTAAGCAAGAAGTGCAAAAGAAAATACCCTGAACCGGGGAAGATGGGTTCTTACTGAGCATTTGGGACAGACCCTTCCATGACGCCAGTGCCTGCAGCTCAGCCAGCGGAGACGGGACGCTTTGCAGGCCCTGCCCCGTGGGGAGCGCTGGCACACGCTTGTCCAGCGCTATGAAGACAAGGAAAACTCTCACAGTGCAACAAACGAAAGCAGGAAGCAGTAAAGGTATTTACACTCTTAAGACAGAGAAAGACTGTGCATCAGTAACCTGATTTAGATGGGCCAGTTCGAGGAAGGGCTGTGGCACTGCCCCCCTGGGGCAAAGAGCCCTCTA